TAAATTAAAAACCTGTTTTAAAAAAAAAAAAAAAAAAAAAAAAACAAATACATAATTATATATATATATATATCAATATGAATAAAAATAGATAAATATTATAATTATACCTCAAAAACAACTATCAAATTATTATTCTTTAGAGTTAAACATAAATAGGGAGATATTTCAAATATATAAATAACCTTAAAAATAATCGTGTAACAAAAAAATTTTATTGTTTAATTCATTCTACAAATATACATTTATATATATATATATATATATATATATATATATATATATATATATATATATATATATATATATATATATATATATATATATATATATTTTTTATTTAATTATTCATTTATTTTTAAGAATATTTTACTTCATTAATAAATACACTTTTGATGTCATTTGCACAAATAAACTTCAAATGATGTTTAAATAAATTTTCCTTTTCAATTTGTATTCCAATGTTATTTATTAAAAGTAACTTTTCTGTTTAATAATTGAAAATTAAAAAAATAAAAGACAATTAGAGATAATAAATAAATATATATTTATAACTTTATTATTTATATTTAAAAAAATTAACCAATAGAATAATTATTAAGATAAGTAATAATAAGCAATATATATAAAAAAAACAGCAATATTTGAAATTCATCAATAGTTAAATATCCTTGCTTATGTGCCTGTTATATAGTATAAAAAAATAAAAGAATTAATAGTTGTATTTCAGTATCTTGTATTTTACTTTAATGTTTATTTAAAAATACTTTATTTTTTCATATTTATTTTATATTGTTTTATCTATCCTTTTTTTTAATTTTTATTAATTTTATTTACTAAATGCTTTCTTATTATATCTATTTCATTATTTTATTCTATTTCATGAAGTACATATATATATATATATATATATTTTCTCTTGATCTCTTCTTTTTATTTTTAATTATCACAATATAATATACAAATTTATATTGATGATTTATTCATACCGTATATATGTAATACATATAATATAAAGAAAAAATAAATAATACAAAAAATACAAATTTTCTTTTTTCCTTTTTTTCTGATATATATTCAATACCACACAAATGTTCAATTCTCCTTATTTTATTTTTCATTTTTTTTTCATTTTATTACTGTTTATATAATAAAAAGAAAGATAAATCTACTAATCTTTTCCACTAATACTCTCCAATTTTTTAATTATCAATATATATCATTTTTTATTTTTTTTTTTTTTTTTTTTTTTTTTTTTTTGGCATCATAAATATTCAAAAAAAGTTAAATATTTTTCTTATTTTAAAAATTTAAAAACATTTGTTTTAAACATTATACTATTTTTTTTTTTTTTTTTTTTTTTTTTTTTTGGCATCATAAATATTCAAAAAAAGTTAAATATTTTTCTTATTTTAAAAATTTAAAAACATTTGTTTTAAACATTATACTATTTTTTTTTTTTTTTTTTTTTTTTTTTTTTGGCATCATAAATATTCAAAAAAAGTTAAATATTTTTCTTATTTTAAAAATTTAAAAACATTTGTTTTAAACATTATACTATTTTTTTTTTTTTTTTTTTCTTTTTTTTTTTTTTTTGTTGATGTGCATAAAATATATAATAATTGAATAAATGAAGATAATAATAAAAATATAAGATTAAGACATATACAAAAATATTTTAATTATTTTTATTTTTTATTTATTTTTAAAAAAATACAATTCGTGTAAAAATAATATGAAAACATGTAATATGATGTATTTTAAAAAAAAAAAGAAATATTCTAAAAAAAAATTTTTTAAAAATGAAATATTTTATTCTTTTTTTTAATTTAAAATAAAATACAATAAAATATTTAAGATTAAATGATTTTAATCTATTCTAATATTAGAAAACATGTTAGACATTTGTTAAATTTGTTGTTTTAGTCTTTTTTTTTTTTTTTTTTAAATTATAATCATTTAAAATTTTCATACTATTTTTTTTATTTTTTTTGTATTATAGAGTAAATTTACTCATAGTTACAGATCAATTATTTTAGTTTATTTTTTTGTAATAGTATTTTGAAGGTACTGTTAAGACTATATATATAATATATAAGCATATTATGTTTTACATATATTTTTAAATTTCCAAAAAACCCATGTAAGTTATTTTTTCCTTTTTAAATTATTAGTTTTATAATTTTTTTTTTTTTTTTTTTTTTTTTAAAAAAAAAGCTTTCGTTTTTATTTTATTCTTCTAAAAATAAATTATATTTTGATATTTTTAGTTAGAGTAAATTAGTTATTGTAATTATACTACTTATTTATTATTAAGCTGACTTTTTTTTTAAATGGAAAAAAAGAAAAAAGATTACAAAATTTCCGATGATAATATGGTAAGCGAATATAATAGTATTTCAGAAAATCGCATGGATCCTCTATTAAAACTAAAAGAAGAAAGAGAAAAATTAATCCAATGGTCAATTAAATTAAAAAATAATAGCTCTTCATTTTTGAGCTCGGAGAAATTAGATAAAGGCAAAAGTGAGAAATATTATTCCAGTGATGAATCTTATAACAGTAATGAATATAATGAAAAGCTGAATAGAAATAACAAAAGCAACATTAGAAACATAAAAATAGATAATAAAGTAGATGATTATGAAAAGGATGAACATAACATAAAAGAATATAGTATGAATTCTAATGATGTAGTTAAATTAAGATTAAAAGGAAATATGGAAAATAAAAATAACATTCACATAAATTTTAAGGATAAAGATTTTCTAAGTGAATCAGCAGAAAAAGATGAGCCATATTTTATGTTTTCAAAGTATAGAGGAAGTAATACAAAATTGAATAACTCATTGAACCAAAATAAGAACGATATAAATAATTCAAATGTAGAAAATGAATATAAAATTCCAAAGAATAAAAAATATTTAACTGAAAACATTTTTGGTAAAAAAAAAAATTTTAGTAAAGAGCTAGCTCATTTTTCCAGTAATGATAGCTCTGTTGACATTACTGATCAAACTTTTTCTTTTAATAGTCTAAGAAAAGACATAAATACTTATGATAATAATAAGATAAACAATGATTATATAAAGAATATTCCTGATATACACATAAGAGAGCCACTTTATAAAATTTCTAAAAATGAAAACAAAACAGGGAATAATTTTATCATAGAAGATCAAAAAGATAAAAAAAAAGAATTAGATTCAAATAGTGATATTACATATAATGATTTTGGAAATAATAACTTGAAAAATAAAAAAAGAATAAAATTAACAAGAAAAAAAAAAAATGAAAACAATGATATTCATTCTTTTAAAATAAAAAACCAGATTTTGAATGATCTAAATGACATAAAAATTGAAAAAAATAACAAGTCTTCTAATGGAAGTACTCAAACCTTTTTACCTGTAACATCTTTAATAAATTCAACCGAAAATTCTTCTTGTACAACCATATTCTCTTATAATGAAAATAAGAAAAATAATAATGACAAATTAAAATATTTAGAAGCAAAAAAAATGGCAAGTTTATTAAAGGAAAAAGTAAATTTATTGGAAAAAAAAAAAGAAATTTTAAATGACAAAATGAATGATTTACATGATAATGCATATACTTTAATGGATGATAAGCAAAAAGATAATTTAACAATTCAACATTATGAAACATTAATAAAAAACTTAGAAGGTAAATATAACAAATTATTTAATATGTATCAAGAATTAGATGAACATCGTATTTCTTATGTTGAAGCTTATAGAGAAAAACAAACAAAAATAGAAAATTTATGTGCTATTATGCAAATAAAAAGTGAAGAAAATCTAAAATTAATGCAAGAAATGAACATTCTAAGTAAAAAAGTGGAAGAATTACAAGGTCATATTTATGAATATACAAAAGATATTGAAGAAAAGGAAATTACTTTAAATAAAAAAAAAGAAGAAAGTATTATGTTAAAAAATTCACTAGAAAAATCTAATAATGAAATTGAAAAATTAAAAAACATGTTAGAACAAAAATCAAAAGAATTAAATGAAATGATAGAAAAAAATAATTCTCTACAAAAAGAAATTGAAAACGCAAAAATTAAATATAATGAAATGGAAGAAAAATATAGTAATGCAGATAATTTTTATATGCCAAAAATAGATAATTTGCAGTATATTCTTAATAAAATTCTGCAAGTTTTTAAATTAAATGACGAAAATATTCTGAATTATTCTAATTTTTTTAAAGAAAATGCTAAGATTATTGAAGAAAAGCTTAGAGATACTAATAATAAATATGAAGATATAATTCTTTTATTAGATAGTAACTTAGTAGATCCAATTATAAATGTAATTATGGAAAGAGAAAATGAATATAAAGAGAAAAAAAGGGATATGGAAAATAAGTTTGATGATGAACTACTAAAAATGTTCGAAACTAATATCCACAACATTGAATTAGCTGAAAATCAAATTGATCAATTCAAAAATAAATTAGCATCAACAATTCTTCAAAGAAATAATTCGAAAAATAAAGCTTTACTATTATCTCATGGACAAGGTCGTTTAAATAATAAACCAATAATTAAAGAACTAAAAAAAATGAATATGGGAACACTAATTTATAAATGCAAATATTACACATTTACACATAAACCTGTTTTAATATACATGAAAATTGTTGATCACAAATTTATTACATGGAGTAAAAATACTAAAGGAGATAAAGGATTTAAAAAGAAAAAATTGATAGAAATTAAGGTTTAAATTATACATATAGTTTATATTTTGTTTTAATTTTACATAATCATATATATATATATAATCTTATATTATTTTTTTATATATTTTTTTATATATTTTTTTGAAATTTTTTATTTTTAATACAGGATGTTACATCGATAGATTATGGTATAAATAGTAGACCTGTTTATTGGCTAATTGAAAAACAGAACAAAAAAAAACTAGAAAAAAAAAAAATAGGATCAAATCAATTTTATGATAATGAGTACCAAATTGATCCATATAAATGTTTCACTTTATATACAAAAAAAAGAGCTTATGATTTTTTTTCGGATGATGAAGAAGTAATTGCTACATGGGTAATAGGTCTTGGTGTTTTATGTTATGAATATACTAACAGTCCTAATATTCAATCAAGATCAGAATTTATTATTAAAAAAGCTCAATTGAAATTAAAATTATATTGTATTAAAAATAATATTAATTATACTATATTGTGGAAAGATGCTA